ATACAAGGGATCATGGATTCAGCCCATGCAGCTCCAGGGGACATGTGGGTTTCTCAATAATTTCGTGGGGCAAGGCTTGCGGCAGGCACTGCACTTCTGAATCATTTTCTAAGGGTCCAAGTACCTAACAATCGTGTACTTCCCCCCGAACCGGTACTATAATTACCATTACCCAAAACGCAAGTCCCTGACTCGGGTACTTGGACCCTCTGGGATTGCTGTGGCCACTCATTGCATGCGTTTCGCCATCAGCCCATCTTATGGTGCAAGGAGGCTGCAAAGCAGCGTTACTTGCAGAAAATGGTCAGCCAGCAGGTAGGCAATCATTGCATGTACGATCATTGTAGCTGTCGGGATGACTGTTCCGAACTAGAGGCGTCAACTCATGATTGATTGCAGTAAGGTTGTAGCAGAGCACTCCATAGACAACAGCGCGGTGAAAGATGGGTCTTCGCGTCTCCTCGAGGCTGACCACGTGACGGATATGCTCCGCGTCCATGGGCTGTCGGGAAAGGAGCTTCTCGCAGTGAAAGCGAGGAACGGGAAAGGGCCCACTGTGGCAATCTTGAAGCAGCATATCCGAGACAGGCATGGCACGCCAACGTGTTTGCAAAGTCTCTTCTTGAATGGCGGAGTCCTTCATGATCAGATTGCACTAAATCTGTCAGCAGGCACGGAGGTCGACTTACAGTTAGTTGTGCAGCCAACCGGCACCCGTTCTAAACTGCAAGTCGAGCTGTGGAATGCCTGTCAGGAAAGCAACTTTGAGATTGCCTGGGTGCTCTTGGAAGCTGGTGTTCAGAAGGACGAGCGGGATGAAGGTGGCCGCACGCCTCTCATGTACGCTGCTGAAGCTGGCAGCTTAGAGATTGTACGCTTGTTGCTCAAAGCTGGAGCTGATACAGACCTAACTGATCTGTTTGATGACACGGCACTCATTTGCGCAGCACGCAGAGGGCACGTGGAGGTCGCGCAGCTTCTCCTTGAAGCTGGTGCAGACAAGGACTGGTGCAACCAGCACCGGTACACAGCCCTCATTTACGCTGCCGAAAAAGGCCACTCACAAATAGTGCAGGCTTTGCTTAGCGGCTTAGCGCCGGTGCCAGCACGAACCTAGAGACCAGCTTCCGCACCACGGCTCTCATGCGCGCGGCAGACAAAGGTCATAAAGAGATCGTTGAGCAGCTGCTGGCAGCTCGTGCGGAGAAGAACGCACAAGACCGTGGCGGCCTCACAGCACTCACATTGTCAGATCTTCAAGGCCATGAGGGCCATGAGGACATTGCACGGTTGCTTAGAGATGCCGCATGAGTAATGGCCTGAGCAACATGACGTTCACCATTGTTTCACTAGATACACCGTGGCTTCCTCACAGCACTCACGTTGTCAGATCATCAAGACCATGAGGATATTGCACGGTTGCTCAGCGATGCTCTATGAGTAATGGGTATACGAGCAGCATTGTTTCACTGGATCCTGTTTCTCGCTTGTTGGACGCCAGCGCAGGCAAGAGCGGAAAAAAAGTGCACCATTGCAGCTGATGCCAGAAGTTGGGTTGGAGAGTAGGGTTAGAGGCTGGAACATCGCAACGATAAGCCAGCAACAGATATGATGGAAGGAGCAATCAATCTGCGCAGCAGGGCTTACCCAGCAAATCCGACACCGGTGCGTGCATGGTATGCTTCATTAAAGCCTTGCCAGTCAGTTCTTCCTGTGCTCCGTCTTTCATGAAAAGCTCTCAACACAACATGGCCTTTCTTCTGGCCTTGCGGGAAGGATCAAAAGCTTGGGTATGTGGAGTCCCGGCCGTGAAAAGTGTCCAAAATCAAATTTTAGACGTGAAGATAGCAGGTAGTCAAGGTTCCAGGACGTGAAAGCTAGAATCTTGATGCAGGGCATCTGCTGCTCCAGAATGTCAAGCTGGCTTGTGAGACCTTAAACCTTGATGTGAAAGTCCGAACCTGCGACAGAGTCGGTGAACTGGTCGTATGCTCCAGGGACAAAGCTTTGAATATACTGCTCAACATTGGTGAGGTGTATGTCTAGTACCCAACGACGAGATAGACAGGATAATCCATATAGTCCCCCTTAAGTAGATAGAATATGGGGTATATGAGGATCTTATTATAATATACCCAAAGCCATATTCTATCTACTTAAGGGGGACTATAGGTACACGTAAGTTCTCCCAGTAGCCAGCAGAGGCCAGGAAGAGGCAGTGCTGTCTACGCTACCGTCCGCGAAAGGCAGAGGCGGGCCGTTGAGCAGAAGGAGTGTTGCTAGTCCCACTGTTTAGGGTTTAGGCCACTATTATTGGCACTTTGAGGTCTACATGGTTCTGAGGATGGATTTCCAGAGAGGCAGAGCAACAAGAATGGGACGTCGCGCATGCGTAGCAATTCTACTGTCAGTGGAATTTGGGGTGCATTCGGTCGGCCAAGCCTTCTACAGCCGTCAGAAAAGAAATCAGCGTTTCCTTCCACAAACAAAAGAACCCCAATGTAGATCACCCAAAGGATACAAGAACACCTCAAACGGGACGCCCTAATTGTTCGAAACCCCCATATCGCCCCTAACAGAACCTTCACTATGCAGGCCCGCCGTGATCGAGATCTTCTGAGGTATGCCCGAAGTCGCAGGCTCGAGCCTGTGACTGTGTTGCAATTAAGGAACGGAAAGTCTGTCATCATCATGTGGATGCATGTTAAATCAAGCTGACGGTTTTCTAGCTATGCTAATTTCATATAAGTTCCCCAGCAGCAACATGGAAGTGGGGAAGCACCATGCAAGTGCCGCTAAGGCAATGCCTTGAAAAACACATGTCATTGTCAGGCGCGAACATATGTATTTTGTGTCACCTTAGCAGCAAATACAGAACATAGTATGTAATTGATCCGTTGTGAAGGAGATGCGACACCACGTGTTCAGACAAACGTAACATTTCCAGATAATGCTTAGCCAAGGTTACTAGGAGACAGTGATGACTTCTGCAGATTCGGCTTCAGAGAAGATGCTTCTTTCCTACGCTTCAGTGGAGTTTCTCACTTTCATAGGTATTAGTTATGGGGGATACCAATGCCTTCTTAGAAAGAGAGTCATACTAGATGTATCTGCACAAGTCTAGGGTGTGCACGGAACATTTCTTTTGCAGTTGCTGCTAGTGGGGCCGCCAATGCTTCAGAACTTGAATCAGGCGAGGCAACGATGTTATGGGATTTCCACGCATGTTGGAGAGGTTCTAGTTTTCTATATGTAACAAGCCCACAGTAACAAGAGTTAATACACCATCACTGGAGAATAGCATGAATAATGTGTGGCTATATAGCGTGACGATATAATGGTGTAACTATTCATGATTGCAGGGGTGAGGTGATTCGCGATTCGGAGGCAGGGAATAGGGGGTCGCCATGGCTCCATATGAAACAAGGTTCTTTCAGACAGTAGACTTGGCTTGAAGCACCGCAGTCCCCTTCACACTCGCTGAGCTTTCGCAGCTTCCAGATGAATGATACCAGGGATTTGTTCCATTAAGACTTAATAGTTTCCTTAAATGGCGGACCTCAATATAGATCCCAAATACTCTAATCCTTATTCTGGGGACCCCCAAATGGTACCCGTAATTTTGGGAAATCCGCATTTACCTCTTGTACAACCCCGAGGTTGCCCCTTCATTAGCTTTGATCAGCATTGCATAAGCTTAAACAAAGGCGAATTGTGTATGCGACCCGTGGTTTCATGCAAGAGTCGACCCAGCATTAGAGTCCAAACGGGAGATCCCCAAAACCATGTGCCATAAAGGCGTAATGTAGAAGACTGAACTTTGAGTAGCAGTATGCCCTTACAAGCCTTGCATGTTTATACCAATTACAAGTAGCTAAAGCCGCATTTAATCTTTGTAGGCTCCTGCATTATCACCTCAAACCCTGACTATGAAAACTTTATCTCGGGAATTTCACCGCAAGGCTACAGCACGGAATGCAGCAAAGATCCCCGGCAACACAGCTCCTTGAACGGTGTGAAGGGTTTCGTTTTTTTAGCTTTATGGCATTTGCGAAAGGTCCAGGGGAATGGCGGGGTTAGAGCTTTGGGGAGTATGGATTTTTGGGTTTGGGGTGTGGGGTTTAGATTTTGGGCCTAGGGGATGGAAGCCTAATTGCCATTCCAGAAGTGCACCAGCAGCAGACCAATACCCCTCCCCTAATATGAAAAGCCCCTCACCCACCGAACATGAAGTATTCTCATTGCCGTATACGATCATATGTTGGGAATATCTAATATGGCGGGGGGGGGGGGAAGTTTCTCATGGGAGTACAAGTGGGCGGGCCATAAACCCGGGTTGTAGTGTCTATCGTCATGTTATACTACGGGTTATGAAGAACGGGGTCACCCAGAATAGTAGGATAGAGTTCTTATTTGAAGCTGAGTCCCAGGGCCCTGATCCAAAGCGTGGTCTGTCTCCTAGAGGATGGCGTAGTTGCTCAGGGGGGGGGGGGTGGGAGGGAAGCAAAATCCCTTCAAGCATTGTCCGAAATAATTTGTTTTCTTCCTACCGAACATGTTGCGAGTGTAGTGGGTATATACGTTAGTCTGTTGATGTAGTTGACCGATAAGGGCAAATGTAGTCATTCACAGATCTACCTTAATTGACCCGTTTCCTTCCTATCGAACATGTTACAGGGCCCACTTGAGCAGGCTGGGTCCTGACCCATGGAGCCCAACACCCTGCAACAAATCAACCTGAAGCCAACCGTTACCTTGAGGGTTTAGGGTTTAGTGCTGTATGTTTCTTGATGGGTGTCTGTTGCACAGTGCCGCTGGCTTCCAGGCGTCTCAGCTGTTTGCATTGTTAGAAGTTGGAATACAGCAGTTTCAGGGCTTAAACTATGGAAGCAAAAGGGGGGCAACGCCTTTAAAGTCAACATTGGGCATTACACTTGCGTCTTCGCACGTCCGCGCATGACTACACTCCCCTAAACTAGCCGTAGCCAGCCGCCCTTGCGATGCTCCGTGTCTATGCGGTGTCAGGGCAAGAGCTTATCGCTGTCCAAGTGGAGAAGGGATCCGTTCATGTAGCAGGCTTGAAGAATGAGCTGCGGAGCAGGCATGGCTTCCCAGTACAGATGCAAGAGCTTCTTTACAACGGGATCAGGGTGAACGATGGGATGTGGCTACCTGTAGCACCATGCACAACGGTCGACCTGCAGCTAGTTTTGCTATCGTTTGCAAACCCCACTCTCGAGCAGCGGCAAGCAGCTTCCAACGAGCTTCGGTACGCTTTTGAGAGTGGCCGCCTAGACGTCGTGCAGTCGCTGTTAGAAGCTGGGGCTGACACGAATACGCCAGATGCAGGCGGTCACACAGCTCTCATGCGCGCGGCAGAAGCAGGAAACCAAGAGAAGGCAAAGTTGCTGCTGAAAGCTCGGGCATGGGTAGACTGGGAGACTCGAAATGGCACAGCTCTTATCGTGGCAGCTCAAAACGGTCATACGGAAATGCTGCAGCTGCTTTTGCAAGCTGGTGCAGGGAAGGACGTTCAGGATGACTTCAGAGACACAGCGCTCATTTGCGCAGCGCGAGGCGGACATACGGCTGCCGTCCAGTTGTTGGTGGATGCCGGTGCCAACACAGAGCTGACGAACCTTTACCGGGACACACCCCTCAAGTACGCAGCGGAAAAGGGCGACCTGTGTGTTGTGCAGGTTCTGTTGAGAGCCGGTGCCAACAGGAACCGAAAGAACTGTTATGGCAGAACAGCCCTCATGTACGCGGCGAAGAATGGCAAAAGCGAGATTGTGCAAGTGCTGTTGGAAGCTGCTGCTGACCAGAACTTGCAAGACAACGGGCGCCGGACAGCTAGCCAGCTTGCAGCCAAGCACATGCACACGGAGATTGTGCAGATGCTGGCAAGAGTGTGAAGTGTAAAAACACTTGCAAATTTTGACGCAGCCACCACATCAAATCTGGATTCTTGTATTGAGTACTTGAGCATTGCTGTGTTCGGAACAGTGTATTTGCTCTTGAGATGCTGCATGCCCAGTTTTGCTTGAACTCAGCGACTAGGTCCTTTTGCCATCGCCCCCGTTCTCTCAGTCTCTCTCACTCTCTCGCTCGCATTCTCCCTCGCCCTCCAGAAGATCATGCTAGATGCGGAAACGTTTCTGTCTTCTTAATATCATCCACTTCGCTCTCTGCGCAGCCACTGCCACCTGTTCATGTGTTGTCCGGCTGTGGCAGGGTGGAAAAGCTCCACTATCAACATTGCGAGCGTACTTCCCGTGTGACACTTGCATGGGGGTTTCTCCAAATTAGGTGTATTTTGGATAGGGTTTCCCCATATCGAGGACTATACTATTTTGTACCTCTTTTCTTATCTGATATGCGTGTCCCTAGAGCATCCAACGTCTGGAAGCTTGCAACAAACTCAAGCCGATGCCCTTTGCGCAGATTTTCTCCATCCCAATCTTCTTAAAAGACACCTTGTAGTTTCATCCCAAAGGCTTTTGTAAACGCTTAAACTTGAACACCGCAGCGCCCAACAACTATACCCAAGCCGCAAGACGCAAGACTCCTAAACCCAAAGCCCGCGTAGTATAATCATCTCGTTGCAAAGGCCAACCATGACCCACGTGCTCAGCAACATCCTGGAAATCGGTCTAGTGACTTTTCTCCAGGCGGACTGTGTAAGAGCAGGTCGACTTGGAAGCTTTTTTGATTTAGTATGTCTACTTGGGTTGTCTTGCTGATCGTGAGGGTTGTGGAGGCTTTGGGTAGGGTATGTCGTATGTATGCAGATTTAAGCAGGTTGATACTTGCAGAAAAACATCAGTTGTTCTTCCTAAGGTAAAGCGGGGACGAATTAGTAGATGGGGATAGCAAAACGCACCGCGAAGAGTGTGAGTCTTGAAGTCTTGAAGTCAGGGTTATGTGAATATATATCATGCGAATTACTATTAGTGGCAGGCATGTCATAGCTCATCTCCCCAATCACAAGGCACGTGCACCTTTCAGTCTTGTGTTTCGCAGAGTTTTTTGCAGCAGTAGGCCCCTAGGATGCTTGACATTTTCCCTCATGGCTTTAGTAGGGGAATCTTTGTACGAATTTGTCTTACAGGGTTTAGGGGGCAAGCCATGGTTATCCAAATAGCCCAATGTAGCTCGGCCATTTAAAGCGAGCTCACCCGACCTCACCCTGAATGATGGTTACTTTCAATTGCCCAGAATGCAGGTGGTATTTACACACTTTAGGGCCCAACGCTAATACCATGTGTATACTTGGATCCCCAGGAAGGGGTTGTATGTTCTTTTGGAGCATGCGCCGTCAGCGAGCACTGGGCCCCCTGGAGGATGAGAAGTCTAACTCTAATCTTTCTAATCTCTCCCTGAGGATTCAGACCAAATTGTAAATCCTAAACTCTAAATCCTAAAACCTAAACTCTAAACCCTAAACGCTAAACCCTAGACCCCTGAATGTCGAATCACAAAGCCTACCTCAGGCTGTCTGGATCTCTGCTGATTCAGCTGAACCCTAAACTGGGAGTCCTTAAACCCTGTGATAAGGAAGAAGGGCATCGTCGAGTTGCAGAGCTTGCTTAAGCTTCATCAAGGAGGCCTGGATTCTGTTTTGGGGGTTTAGGGTTTAGGTTCAAAGTTTAAAATTGTTTTAAATTCATCAAGGAGGCCTGGATTCTGTTTGGGTTCATGGTTTAGATTTTTAAGGTTTCGGGGCCTGAGCTGAAGCGTCCTGAAGATGTAGGGAATGTAGGGCTCATGTGGTAGTTGGACCTGGTAGTTTCCCAAAATATGTAGGGACCCCAATATAGACCCACAATATTATTTTCCTTATTATTAGGACCCCAAAATGGTACCCCTAATTTTGGGAACCCCCCATGTAGATATTGGAGTGGGGTCTGTTGAAGGCGCAAGAGGCTCACCAAATATCATGCCCAATCCTCCTACTTCCGAATCTTACGCCGCTCCTCCTGCTGCCTCTTCGCCAGCGAGACCCTGGCCCTTTTTTTTTCGCTACACATATCCACGCTGCAACAAGGATGGCCACTTTCGGCGGACAGAGCCTCGAACTAGCAGGCTGGTAAAAGCCCAAGCCACGACCAGGTGGGATCCCCCGCGCGCCTTCTAATTACAAATGCAAATTAAAATTCGTATTAATGCGCCTATCTAGCCCCTACACCCTGTGTTTCCATATTATCCCAGTTGCCATTTCATGTTCCATGTCCTTTTCATGCGATGCTCCATTTCTTCATGCCGCAGCCCTATCTACTTCCTAGAAGCCCCTCTAGAAGACCTAAATATATGATCCCTATGAACCCCTACCTGGTCTGGAAAGACAGCGTGGTCGATGGAGGTCCCTCCCAGAGCCGACGTAAGCCAAGCTGCTCTGATTGAAGCGTCTTGGCAAGTTCAACTTGCTACTAATTACTGGCTGTCATTCAGGATCAAGGGCTTAGGCCATTGAGAGTTAAGGGCTTAGATGTCCTAGATTGTTCAGACTTAAGGGCTTAGGTCATTCAGGGTTCAGGGCTGAGGGTTGATGGTTTGTAGTTTATAGTGTTTAGATTGGTAAGTAGGGAACGGTTTTTAGGGAGTACCTTGAGGGATCATCTCACAGAAACTGCACGGGGATTTGCATTCTTCCCGACTTACCAGCACGAAGTTAAGACCTTGGGCCATCAGTATGAAAAAGCAGTCCAACGCTTTGTGTCTCCTCAGATGCTTATGTCTCCCTCACTGACGTGAATTTGCTGCGGTTCTCTCAACCAATCTCAATCGAGTCTGAATAGTGCATGCATCAAAGTTGGCATTTGCCTACTTTTTTCTTGTTGGAGATCCTAGTGTTTCAACTGGGACGGGGGATCCACTTCTAGCTGCTGCTTTCAACATTACGGGCCCCTTTGTCCTCCTCTCTACAGAACTGATTAAGTGTCTTACAATAGTCGGCACCGACAAGAACCCTTATTTGTAGAGCAGCCTGTCTTCATGAACTTCAAGTCTATGAAGGCTACACGCTTTCCACCTTTGCCATACCATCCCATGATTCTGGATAAGCAGTCTGAGCTGATTGGCTGCCACCGGTATGCAAGTACTCATACTAGCCTAGTGAAGCTCTCTCTCTTGATTGCAATCGGTCTTGTTTTTCATTCTCTGTGCCTTGAACTGGCCAAAGGCTTCCAGCAGTTTTCTACGCGCAGTTCAAGACCTTTTTGCGTGGAGGGGCTGGATGAGCAAGTCTGTAAAGATCTTGCAGGCAACTTGGCCACGCGGATCTGTGCATCTGCACCTAAAGCTGGCAGCTGGTCCTTACAAGGATCTGCCGTACATGCGTTGGCAGCCACACAGAAGTCGAGGTTGTGTGCACAACTAGCACAGGGCCTATCTTTTGAGAGAGACCTGGCGAACAGTAGAAGCCCAGTGACTCAACGAAGCTGATGACTGCCTGGCGGTTTGCACGGCTGTGAGCATTGAGAGTAGAGGTGTGGGTGTGACAGTGTTGCAGCTACTAAATGAAAGCATCAGCGCGTCTCACCATCTGTTTTTACTCGCATCCGATTGTCCGTTACAAGGTTTTGCCTCTTCTGCCCCGCCATGAACAGTTGGTGCAGGGTAAGACGCAGAGCCCGAAGTTCACCTCACAAATAGGGGCCATTTACGGGTTGGAGGAAGGAGAGTCAGGAAATTGACATGGAAATCAGCGTTTTCTAGTAGTTGATAGGGTTTGCAGTCCTGAGGAAGTTTACCATGGGTTTCTAGAAATGTGGTCCGGTGTTGGGTATCCTACAGATTTAGGGCCACTAGCCCTCGCAAATGTAAGCGCAGCCTCTGCATTCATTATCCAGTTACCGGCTACTATGATTGATATTTGGGGGGTTTCCCAAAATTAGGGGTACCATTTTGGGGGTCCAACCCTAAGCCCTAAACCCCTATAAGAAGGATTAGAGTATTTTGGGGTCTACCGTGGGGTCCCCCTACTTAGGGAACCTACCATTTGAGAGATCCAGGTAGCCTGATACTCACAGCATGAGCCCAATTTAGGGTTTAAGGTGTAGGGTTTAAGGTGTAGGGTTTAGGGTTTAGGGTTCAGGGTTCAGGGTTTAGGGTTTAGGGTTCAGGGTTTAGGGTTTAGGGTTTAGGGTTTAGGGCCTTTATCCTCAAGTCCTACTCCCTAAGCCCGAACTGTTAAGATGCAGACCCCAAACCCTAAACCATACATCCCCCAAGCCATTAATAGAAGGACACCCAAAAAAGGAATTCTTGAAGTTGATATAAAGGGAGTCTGTATAGTGTCAGGGGTTAGGGTATATAATATGCCCTCAAAACAACACAGAAGCCCGCAAAGGGCCTTACAAGACTACTGCCCTTTTACAAAGGGAGCTGCATGGGCTTCCATTTTGTCTTCCACAGGATAAAAGTAGGCCTAAAGTCAGAGCAACAAGATGTTGCGTTCCGCCTTTTCTCTAACCCCTAAGTCCCAAATCCTAAACTGCTATAGGGCTGTTTGACGCCAGGGCCTGGCCCATGAAGCACGGCAAACCTAATGTTCCTGTAAACAATGCCAAAGGAATCACACTGTGCACCTTGGCTCCGGGTTTAGGATGCAGGGTTAAGGGTTGCTAGTTGCTATATTATCCCCCTATAATGGAGAATCAACTGGAAAAGGACAAGGAACATGAAATGGAAACTAGGGAATATGTGGGGGTTATATAAGGAAAATGGAAAAGAAAATGCAAAATACTGCTAGGGTTTGCCCGAGGATGTAGTGGTGCGTAAATATTCAGTGACCTATTTTCCTGAACCGGGGCTTTCATGCAGAGAGTATATATCCTGACTGGCAATATGAGGTGAGCTTGCCGAAGGCTCTTTTTCTAGGGATCCAGATAACCCACTGTAGGTTATATCTACA